ATCGAGCTGCTCGAATGCTCGCGGCCACGCAGATTCGACCTTTCCGGATAATTGCCTTAATCGACGTAACGACAAGCAACAGCCGTTCGCTTCTCCCTGTTTCGACAACAGCGAGGAAAGCGGCTCGCTCTCGTGCTTACTTAAGCTCAACGCTTTGTCACTCCCCTAACGTGGCGCATGCTACTCGGGAATCATGCTACTCGATACTCGCGAACGGGTGTCGTCGATCATCTGTTGCATTCAGTTTTGTGTTCTACCGAATGAGACGAGTAATTGCTCGTCGCAAATGTACACAGGGTGTCCGATTTTAATCTGTAAGTGCAATTACAAAGATATTCGCGAGACATACTCGAGAAATGTATCAAATGCATTTTCTTCTGCGTTGAGACGGCAGCAATTTGGTACAGTTTAGTTTGTCTTCTTTTACGTCTTAATTTTTTTTTTTTTTTTTACGTCAAGTTGTTTTCCATAGAAAGAACTTTATTAACCTACGTATGTCGAAAAGCTACTAGTACAGGAGATACTTTAACGCATGGTCTTTCATGTATAGATTTTATAAAAAAAAATATCTCCTGCGTAATGACAGTGCGATGAAGATGCAAGAGCTCCTCTCTCGGCGACGGAAATCGAGATGTTGGATAATTATTTTTTTTCAGAAAGTGTATCCAAACTTTAATGCACGCGCCCCTCTCTTGCAGAGAATCGATTCACGTTTACGCGAAAATTGTTTCAACGAGGACAAAGTGTACCAGGACACGAATTATTAGCCCTGTATTTCATTACGGTGCAATTTGTCGCCATCGTGAATGCGGTTGTGCAAGCTTAAATGAAATACGCGGGAAGTATCGTTTAAGGTTAGCGTTTCTCGTTACGACGTGTTTAGCGCCAGGTGTATTTTAATTTGAACATTTCGAGACGCGTTTCTCGTTAATTGCAACGTGAATTCACATCCGGGCTGGCTGAGAGGACCTAAAAGTTCAATCACGGTCGAACGGAATTGCAGATTTTCCGTGTGGCAGCGACGCTCGGGATAAACACGTCGATGACGAAAGAAATTCGTATTTCGTGTGCACGAGCATACTTTCTGGTGGTGTGGCGGGCATAAAAAAGAAGAGGTGTGAAATGCTACGCATGCCAAAAATCTCCCGCTGCCGCGCATAAAATTTACGGTTATGTTAAAAAGCATGCGCTACGTCGAACATATGCACGCATTCCATCGAAAGTGGGTTGGATCACATTATTTAGTAGCGGGAAAGTAGACAAGAAAGTAATAGATTGCATTGCATATTTCTCTTTACGTCAGAAATACACGTTTCAAAAGAAAAAGAATTCTTTGCGTTATATTTTGAAAATTCAAATCGAAAAAATGTGTATTGTACGACTACGTGTGTGTATATTATATTGAGTAAAATTTTGAGGAACGTCGGTGCTTCGCTTCGTTTGAAATATTGGAAATATTCCCCCTTTAGACGAAAATGATATTTATGAAAAGAGTTTTTTTCAACATTTTCAACATGCAATGGATGTAGAACGTTGATGAATAATTGTCGAGACATTCGAAACAGTTGTAAACAATCTATCTTTAATTTTACACTCCTATTTTCACAGTACTAAATTTGTTTTTTTTCTTTTTTCGAAGATAGGTTTTACAAAGTCAAAAGTCTTGATGAACACTGAAAAATTTTCTTCGCAGCCAATCTCGAAGGTTGAGATCTCCCCTAATTTGATACGCGATTCTTCTTCACAAGGTTATAAATTACTCGAATGTACGAATTACTTCTTTCTTACTACAATCAACCAGAACACGACACACACATACACGCATACACAAAAGAAAACATAGAAAATATTTTTTCAGCAAGTGTCCCTGATCAAAAATATAAAACAAACCAAAAAAAGGAAAAAGATAAACATAGAATTCGAGAAATCCTTCTCGTAAACGTTACTCTCATCTAAAATGTCGCCCCATTTCCAAAATTTCAATCAAATCGAGCATGAACGTTTGCGGAGATATACACAACCTTGCATTGAAACACAAATAAATTTGCAAAGTCAATTTACGGTCTAGTGGTTCTTCAAACTCGCGAGGCATTCACCGCTCTCAAACGTTGACAGTAAAGAAACACGCTCGTTTGTGCGAACCCATTGAGAACGTTTTCCAGCGACGTTACGTAGTTTCGCAGTTGGATTCGAAGAAATTGTATAGTCGAGAATTGTATAGGTAATTTGTGGCTTTATGCAGTCTAACACGATATAACGTAGTATCTGAGCGAAAGCTGCAGAAAACGGGGGTTGGTTATTGAGAGAAGTGGAGAACGTGTGTATGTGGAGCACGAACTGAGTGTTAAAACAATGAAGTGTCGTCAGGTGGTTGTAACTCTATACACTCCGCGGCATAAGTTTTCGAACATCTGGCAAATTCAGATGAAGTGTGTATCAACGATCATTTCTTAATCGAGAGAGAGGATAATGTAATTTTAAAGGCCAGGATTCTTACCATTAAACACAACATTAGAACATTTAAATCCTAGAATCGATCGATTAATTCTTAGATTGTAAAATAATTAATTAAACGAATTAAACGCAGCATTGAGTTTCTTTAAAGTTTCTTATTAAATTTCGTTCTCAACTTTTTCGCAATTGTTCCCGCAGATCTTCTTGGGCACGTAATTCTGTAATAGTTTTTTCGATCTAATTCGCTTCTTGATTCTTCGTTGAGATTGAGATCAGATAATTGTGAGTGCCATCGTGCAATTTCTAACGTCGTTAGTTTTTGATCCTCTTAAATATTGAACTAACGCATGTTCTTGCACTACGTGTGAGCTAGATTAGTGTTTAGGTAGTGAATGTTTGGGATCGTTCAATGATAACAGACTTTTCAACTGGTATTAACTTTATCAAAAGTAATTCTATTATTATTTTATCACGTTTTTTTTTTTTTTAATCTAAATTTGCTACGTGTTTGGAAACTTTTGGACGAGAGTGTACATACATATGTATTATACATATACAGGGATGCAAGAGGTCAGTGAAATGAATAGCGGTGTGCAACAGCGGCGGTGGACGAAGTTTAGATCGATTTTTCTTCTACTTCTTTTTTTTTTTTTTTGTACCTTGAAACTCAATTTTCCGGAACACGCATTCTTTAGTGGGAAATATTCTTCTCTAGAGTTTTTTTTTTTTTTTCCATAGCGACTGAACTATCGGACGCAAGAAGGGTATCTAACGAAAATCATTTTCAAGAAAAAAGTTGAATAATTCTTTTTACTAGTTTCATTCAACAAAATTCGCGTTACGTTTGTAATAGATTCATGAATGAAATGAATTTAAATTACAGCCCTCGTTTTAGCCTTTGTTTTATAGTATAGTTCGAGTTTAGTATACGATACACGTGATATCGTATACACGTGGTTTCGAAATTGCAGTGGAAATCGAAATTTCAGTTCTTTCAATTGTGTAGATTAATACTTTGCATCTATGTTACTATACCATACTCAGATTGATTAACGTTTCATTTGAATATATTTTTAGAAAAACGAACGTCGACATTGACTCGCAAAATTTGCAGTGAATGAAATTTAAAGGATGCAAAATCTGATTAAGCATTTAAAGAACCACAGCTCTCTTTCTCGTTTATCAAATAATATAATTATTCTCCATATAACCTCTTTCCAAAGAGATTTTTACATACTGTCCAAAAATTATATTTAATTAGTAATATTGGCCATAGAACTTTCGATTTTTTTATTTCTTCGTTCAAATTTGAAATTTTCCATTTGATTTAATTCTGTTGCTAATCTCTCTGTCAGAGGGAATATTAAACTTTTGTAACACAGTACAAATTATAGTCATTTATAGTGCTACTTATGAGTAGAAATTTTATCTTTTAATTTTATCTTTGGAGACATTCGGTTATTCGAGACAAATCACAATCCTCCGATACGGTGTTAGACAAAAATTTCATCGTTTCGTTAATCAACTATTACGAATCTCGTTTATTTTGCGAACAGAATTTTTGCATTTAGCTAAATGTAAAAGTACGTTTAGCGTATATTTACCGGAGTATCCTTCTGGCGCTATCAGATGGATTTTCGAGGTCTATGACCGCAGATCGATCGTCCGGTGTTTCCCGTTGGCCATTTGGTTCGTGTTGTTGATCCATCAAGCGATTCGCTTAATACCCTGTCCCTGTTTTACATTGTTTTCAAAATTTTACGGATCCGCCGGGTGAAGCCGAATCTCGCGAACGAGCCGACGTGAAACTGAAAAAGAAACAACCAATGATCGCCTCTTCGCGAGAGATGGATAAATCTCCTGATAAATTTCACTGGGGAGCATGCATCCCTGCAGCATGCTATTTGTATAATAATGCAGCTCTCCTCAGGGATTGAAATATTCAAGAGCCAGAAAGTTTCTGTTCTTGCCGTGAACTTTGACAAACGAGATGGCGCAAGTTCGCTATTAAATATTTGAAATTTCGTTTTTCAACGAACTCTGTTAAAACGTACTGCAAAATGAACCACTCTCTGAATTGTACAATAACAGAAACTCGAGGTCAAGTTCTTTAATACATATTCATTTGTGTATTTCGTTAGCGATACGTTATCATCTTTGTCTTTATTAATTTCGACTCGAATGTCTGTGACGCATTCTAGTTGCAGTTAACATTGAAATAATTTGGATATTTATCGAAAAGTTTAATTTTTCGCTTATTTTGCATTTTACAGGGACTATTAATATTAATTATTGACACGTGGAGTACGTATTAAAATCAAGTAACTCGCATCGGATTGATACCAAACTTTTATAGTTTATTCTGTAACATGTAATGTTTAGAGTACGAGTGCTTAAGGAAATTTATATTTTCATAAATATAATATAAATATAATATAAATATGATATAAAATAAATTGAGGAAATAAGACGGCATATATTTGATTCGCTTATTCAAAAGTCGTAACGTAACCTGATGTTAAATAACAATGAGGATATTTCGGATATTTTATATACAATCTAATGATATTGATCGAGGTTCAAGAGTTTAAAATTCGCAGCCGACTGACGAATATAATAGCCGGAAGTGGAGGAACAGTTTGTGACTTTGAGAAAATAATAATAATTTCCTTTCGACAGATCAATTTGAAAAACCTTGTAATTGCCGCGAATAAAGTCGATTAAACGATACAAATGTTTCTGAGGGGAGTAACATTGTCGTTTAACTGTAAAAATCTCTTGAATTATTATATCACAAAGTATTTACTCTATCTTTTGCAATTTAACTTTATAAATTTGTAATTTTATATTTGCAATTGTACAATTTAATTTATTTTCGTTTTCATTTGATTTTTCGAGAGAAAAATTAAGAATACCCGAAGTATTTTTTTCCAATTATTGAAAGATTATCGTGCCAGTTTTGCTTTCGTGGTGTTCACGCCAGTGATCTATATCGCAGAAACACGATAGATCGAAAGAAATTTCCCGCGATAAGAGAAGAATTAGAGAACATTACGCGACGAGGGTTCTATAAATGATGAGAATTAAAACGGTGATTTCAATGCAACAGCAAATCGCAACGAACAACTTGTGAAAGGAAGGAAATATCGCGATATCATTGAAATAATTAACCTCGATCACACCGAGTCTCGCGTTGAACGAAATTTCAAAATATGTTTTATATAACACATAAATTTTCGAGCACGTCACGCGAACTGCGAAACATCAAACGATGCAAAACGTGAAATCACGTTTCTTGAAATTGCTCGTAAGTTTGCAAATATGCGCACCCGCGATCGGCGACAAAACACATTTTCCGAGCGGCATCCGAGCGCGATCCTTGGATGGACGAGTAAACCTTGACACGCATCACGTGCTCGGTAAACGAGGCAAAACAATTCGCGATCTTTCCACTGAATCTCAAGCGTCGAAGTCCCACCGTCCCAGTTTTGGCCGGTCGAAATCGCGAGATCGGTAGATTGGCGATCGCGTGATCAACTGGAAATTTCGGTCTTTCTTCTCCTTCCTCTTTGTCTTCTTGCAACACGTTTGGGGGTGAAAAGCGTCGCGGGCTCGCGTCACGCGTCTGAAAAACACGTTCGTGCGAGAACCGAATGAATTATTTATGCGGCCGTTATGGCAGTCGCGATGACTTCCCTTTAATGGACACGCCACGTTTTCATCGACATTTGTGTAAGCGATCGAGATGGAGAGATCGTTGTTTCGAGCTCGAACAATATTATTACAACATAATTTAATAATAATAAATTAATAGTATAATATGTAGTACCGACACACTTTTACTACATTTGTATTTCATACTTGGTTCAATATTAAATTTAATTATAGTTTTGAGCTCGAACAATGTTATTAATAATAAATTAATAGTTATTAGAAAATAATTAGATGCTGGTCTAGGAAATATAGAGGATAATTCACGAAGGAAATATTTATAATATTATAATATTATTATATTATGTCATAAATATTTAATATGATAATAATAATATGTAGTATCAACCAAAAATTCGGATACACTTTTACTACATTTGTATTTCATACTTGGTTCAATATTAAATTTAATTATAGTTTTGAGCTCGAACAATGTTATTAATAATAAATTAATAGTTATTAGAAAATAATTAGATGCTGGTCTAGGAAATATAGAGGATAATTCACGGAGGAAATATTTATAATATTATAATATTATTATATTATGTCATAAATATTTAATATGATAATAATAATATGTGGTATCAACCAAAAGTTCAGATGCACTTTTACTACATTTGTATTTCATACTTGATTCAATATTAAATTTAATTATAGTTTTGAGCTCGAACAATGTTATTAATAATAAATTAATAGTTATTAGAAAATAATTAGATGCTGGTCTAGGAAATATAGAGGATAATTCACGGAGGAAATATTTATAATATTATAACATTATTATATTATGTCATAAATATTTAATATGATAATAATAATATGTAGTATCAACCAAAAGTTCAGATGCACTTTTACTACATTTGTATTTCATACTTGGTTCAATATTAAATTTAATTACAGTTTTGAGCTCGAATAATGTTATTAATAATAAATTAATAGTTATTAAAAAATAATTAGATGCTGATCTAGGAAACACGGAGGATAATTCACGGAGAAATATTTATAACATTATAATATTATTATATTATATCATAAATATTTATTATGATAATAATATATAGCATCGACCAAAAGTTCGGACACACTTTTACATTTGTATTTCATACTTGGTTCAATATTAAATTTAATTCATGTCATTGTTTGGAGCACGAAGAATGTTATTAATAATAAATTAATAGGTATTAAAAATAATAAATTAATAGGTATTAAAATATAATTAGACGCTGGTCTAGGAAACACGGAGGAAATATTTATAATATTATAATATTATATCATAAACATTTGTTATGATAATAATATATAGTATCGACCAAAAGTTCGGACACACTTTTACATTTGTATTTCATACTTGGTTCAATATTAAATTTAATTCATGTCATTGTTTTGAGCACGAAGAATGTTATTAATAATAAATTAATAGGTATTAAAATATAATTAGACGCTGGTCTAGGAAACACGGAGGAAATATTTATAATATTATAATATTATATCATAAACATTTATTATGATAATAATATATAGTATCGACCAAAAGTTCGGACACACTTTTACATTTGTATTTCATACTTGGTTCAATATTAAATTTAATTCATGTCAATGACCATACAATGCAACAGCAGACAATGTTAATTTCCCATACGCAATGTAAAGAGAATCGATATCAGAAAATCTATGTATTTCACGCACAGAACGTGCACTCGAATTTCTAGCCAGTATTTAATGTTTATATCATCATTTAAATAACTGACGTTGCATTTTTGCAACGTTCCTCGGCTATCGTTATACAACCAATCGCTTCAGTGTTGTGATAAATTATTATAATTACCTGGCTCTAAATAAGTTCGTATAAATTATTCACGAGAGAGGACAATTCTTACGGTTGTTGAAAATTGAGAAATCAATTTCGCGAACGCGTAATTTAATAGATATTGGCCGGGAACTGCGTTGCGACAGCCTACGTCGCCTCTAATGATCGCGCGCGTGGCGAAACGACAGTGGTATAATTTCGCTGTCACCCGTTGATCGATGACAATGTTCCGTTCGGTGGAGTGCCGATGTTACAGAACTGGACGATCGTTAGGATGGATCCAGGAGGATCGTTAAACCGGCAAAGAACGGTAAGGTGCACGAGCAAACAAACGCGATCAAATCTCTCTCCTTTTCTCCCGGCAACTCGGTCAAACATCGATTTCATTCTGCTGCAATTACCGCTGGCAATAACTCGAAATATGGGGCGACGGCAGCGTTCTCGGGTTTGTTCATGGGTGCCCGACTGTCTACGATGTCCACTGACGGCCACACCCGCGTCTCCAAACACGAAACCAAACGGAGAAGCCTAATTCCGCGTTCGAATCTGGAACAAAACTTCACAGTCTTATAATTTAATTAATTTCAAATTTCCGGGAAATTTTGATCGTGTCGACGTACAGTAATATGTGGCAGTCAACGAATTAGGGACACGGCATGAAACTGAACGAAACGCAATTTCTACGAATTCTAGGAATTGAATTCAGTTAAAATTTTTAAAAATTTCGGTTCGTTCGGTGTAAATTACAGCGACGGGGAAAGAATTGGGGAAGCACGAAACTAGATGAAATTTAATTCCTACGATATCCGAATTGATATTTTATAATTTGACAAAGATTTGTTGGAATTTGATTAATTTTTAAATTTTCGAAAAATTTTGATTGCTCGGTCTATAATAGAGTGACAATATAGTCTATAACACAGTTTAATAAGATTGATTCGGATTTAATGAATTTCAAATTCTGTCGGTGGTCACTTGTTGCGAGATTAAGTATTAAATTTTATAAAACATTAATTACGATATAAAATGTAATGGTAATATATGTAATATGTAATTCATGGTACTACGTTAATGATTGATATAAATTATCACAAATATTTATGTGAATAAATATTATATCAAAATATTATATTAAATTAATTGATATAAATATTAAATATTATAAATATTATATCAAAATATTATATTAAATTAATTAATATAAATATTAAATATTATAAATATATAAATATATAAATATTAAATATTATATTTATAATATTTAATACATATAAATATATAAATATTGAGAATATAAATAATATTATTATGTTACAAATATAACAATTACGAGTTCGTTGGATATTTATTGTCTCCGAAACGTTGATAATTAAAAAATCCTCTTATCGCGCCGGTACACAGAGCTTTCAGTCGTGCGCTTTAATTATTATACATCAATTCGGTACTTTATGTCATTAAAGACGTACTTTCTGAACTGTTGTAATAATTGTCTGATGGTTGAGCGAAAGAATATTTTGTTCAAAATGATACGAGCTATCATTTTAAAAAAGACGGTGGAGATTTTATGATTTCTCGTAGAAATTTGGAGAGATTTGAATGATTTTTATAAATGAAAAAGATTTGTGTAATTAACATAAACGAAAATTCGTATTACAAGTTTCTTTATTGCGTTACAAATTCCTATATCTCGTACATACGTGTACTTCAACTTTGGTACATGTTTTATGCTTTGGTCATCGACGAGCTCTAGCGTTAAAGCGACTTTTATTGCTTTTTCATGCTTTTTATCGCCGCGGGCCAAACGCACGTGTACGGTTATTGCAGGCGATCTTGTTAGAAGGCATGAATAATAAAATTGTAACACCCTAAAATAACCACCAAACAGCTGTAGGTAAGCCTCTTGGCCATTTTGCTGCTCAGCGGCCCTTTGTCGTTCTCGCGCGGCCCGCTTATTGATTTGCCAGCATCAGCACTCGCGGAATAACTTTTTTTTCCACTCTCGTTCCCCAACAGCGAGGTGAACGTTCTTCCAACCTTTGACTTAAGTTCGTCAAAGTGGTCGTTAGCCATTCGACACTTGGCACGGCTCCTGACAAGGCTCCTCCAGCCTTGGACGGTTGAATACCTTGTTTAACGGCGAGGCCGCGATTATCTGTCGCTTCAAAGGGAAGCGAGAGACGAGAATGGGCTCATTGGAATCCGATATTTAATTCACGGATAACGGTTTATGAGCTTCGTGAATGATAATTAGCCGTGTATAACGATGAAACGAGAGAGAAAGAGATCGACCGAATTGTGTGTCAGTGCGATTTTCAATTTTCGAAACCACTGTGTCGGAGTGCATTGCCCTCTGATACGATATTTCATCCTCGAGGGGAGATTTAATTGTTGGCTGGTGTGTCATATATAATGTTACAACTTAACTTTGTCTTTCAAATTGATTTAATTTTTATTGTCAAATTACTGTTGCAATTAATTGGTTGATCTCTGTGAAAGAGATGAATAATAAAGTTAATAAAAATTCCATGTATTTTGGCAATCGAGTTAATAAGTTTTGTGTAATTCAACGATTCTACTCGAGGAGGTTAATATAAAAAAATAACATTCGAAGATGTTAATAAATATGTTTTCGTTTCGCTCTAATAATTAGACCACGCGGGTGTTTATATATATTTTGGAAAATTTAAACAAACCGCATGCGAAATATCCAAAATAGAGCATTTATCGTGATATTTAGTGGATGAAACGAACTTTTACTTAGAACCAATTCCTCACTTATGCTCGTAAAAATACAAAATGAAAATATAAATGTATTATACTGATTATATACCGTTATACACGTACATGTCATGAAATAAAAATGTAAAATATAAAATCTAAGCGATTTAATAACAATAAGTCGAATCACTTGTCGTTTCTTTCTCAAACATTAATTCTATTAGACGAGGCTTGAAAAACATGTCACTGAGAATTACAATTGAGAAAGAACAAACGAGCCAGACCGAGAAACCCGATTATTATTCTTCCTCGCGGATGCCAAACGGATTTTTATTTGCGTTTTTCGTCTGCTACTGTTATCGGCATTGTTTCCATTCCGTTTGCTCGCTTTCTCCGCACAAAAGAAACGTCTCTCAAAAACACAGACGCAGTGAAAATGTTTCCATAAAATGGACCATTCACGATGGCTTGAAGTATCTCGTCAAATGAGCTAATTTTATTAATATACGTGAACAAATTAAAAGTGAAAGCACTCGAACATATTGTACAATAGTAACACTAGAATTTCACTCGAGCACAATTAAGGCAATGAAATTTAAGTGGAAGTTTAACAAGTATTCTTTACTATTCTTTTTTCTTCAATTTCTTATAGACGCAAATAAAATAAAAAATAGTGTAGAAAAATATTGGTAAACATTTGAAATATATATATACAGAAAAATGCACGTACAGAAATTAAAAGGTGTTTGATCTGTGATGATAAACAAAATCGACATTTCGCCATTAAAATAGAAAATTATTGTCAAACTGTTTGTCGAGGTTAATTTAATTCAGAAAACTATTCAAAGTTCCAAATCGCCCCCGAATGGTGTTAATATTCGAGCCTTTATACTTGAAGTTTCTGACCTTCAACTCGCATCTCGCATTCAAATGCAACGTTACACGACGTCTAATCCATTTAAGATTGAAATGTAACGAAAGGCACGAAGCAATTGATCGTCCAGTCGTCCGAACAAGAAGCTACAAGTGACGAGGAGAGATTGGTAAATCTAATTACGACGTTCACTGCGCCGCGTGAATAAATAGATCGACCGGACCGGCAAGCTCGAAAATAAAGCTACTCGGCGTGCCGAGAGAAAGAAAAAGTCGGAGGTTCGATTACAAGCGGTTCTTCCTCGTTCTGCTCAATCGAGTCACCTGCAAATTATATTTATTTACCGGTTCTCCACTAATGGATGCAACTCGGAGATTCGATCGTTGCCGGCGATGTCGGCCAGGAAGCGTTTCCAGGAAACGTAAGTTTCTACTTCCGTCGTCGTTATCGAAATAACATGATAAACGCGAGCGGAGATCATCGCGATGCACAGTACGGACGACGATGTAACGAGGTCACGAGATCAGTTAGCGATCAAACTAATTGCGTTTCGGACATCGAAACGTACGAATTTAATTCAAATGGCGAGCGAGAGTCCGAGAATTTTTATTGAGATCGAGATAATTTGAGACTCTATGATTTAACTTTGGTCCCTGATTTTATATTAACCAATGCATAGCTATTTAATAACTATTTATCTCAAACAGGGCTGAATATATGTTGACATATTCCTTTCAGCACTTGATTTAGTATTAATAAAAGCAGTGGAGAAACTGCAATTCTTTCATTGTGAAAGTTAAAAATATTAAGTTATATATATGAAATATATATAAAATATAAAAATATATTAAAATATTTTAAAATATAAAATTATATATATATAAAATATAAAAATATATTAAAATATTTTAAAATATAAAATTATATATATATATAAAATATAAAAATATATTAAAATATTTTAAAATATAAAATTATACATATATAAAATATAAAAATATATTAAAATATTTTAAAATGTAAAATTATATATAGTATAAAAATATTAAGTTATAATATTAAATATTTTCTTTTACTGAATTGCACAACTATGCAGATATTTACGAATGGTAGTGTACTTCGAAGCTCGAAAGATACTTGAGAATTTGGAACACCCGAAGCACTGGTTTCGAAATTGTTTATACCCTATGTTAGATCTCTTTATGCTGTGGAAGCACACTTCAAAGCTAAAAGAATGCGAAACTATGCTACCGTATTGTTTCAGAACTTTGTACTTCTGAAATCCTCAAGAGCTTCGATATTTTCGAGCCTCGGAACACTGTATCATTAATTCTGTATTTTCTGTTTTCTTGTCAACTGTATTCCACAGGTCAATTCTTAATTTCCCAGCCACGTGATTCGTATCTAGCGACCTCTTTCCTCCCATGCACGTGTCATCAATCTCTTTTGCAAACGCTCATGCATATTAGTGAATAACTAAGCAGATTTCCATGGAGCTCTCGGTGTAAACTCTTCGGATCGATAAACGACACGTTTAAACATTTTTCTTTTTTTAAATAAAACGCGACTATTATTATCGAAAGTGAAATGACATGTAACAGTGAAGTGAAAATTTTGCGTTATATATTACAATCTAAAAAAGAAGGTTATATTTTTTTCACGGCAGATTGAGACCGACACGAGTTAAAAATATCTCGAGACGATAAAAGTACTCGTTTTCATCGTAACCGTTGATCTTCTTCGACTATTTTAGAAAAAAAATCTATTCTCACGATAAGAGAGAACGATGATTTATTATATAACGAAGTCGCGAGACCGTGGATGAATGACTAATTACTTGCCGAGACTGAGTCATGCGATTCTTTCTCTTCTCTTGAAGCTTCTTTCTTGGATGTAGACGAGCTTTATAGTAATTAGAGATGAAAGACCATTTCTCCTCTGTTAATAAGTGCGCGACTCTCCTCTTTAACGACAGTGTTTAATTCATCCGAATGCTGGCAATCCTTTTCAGCAGTAATGACTTCGTTTATTTCTTAAACAGTACACAAAGTGCCGAGCTTTTTCCCCGCTTGTCGCGTACACGACACACGATGGGATCTTTGCAACGAAAATCTGACTCTGAAAGTCAAATTTTTCTGCCCTGTTTGAAAACGAATAATATCTCTTTCCTAGCAAGAGTCATTGTTTTTTAAATTATAAATTAGAAAAAATTTTGCAAGAGAAAGACGAATTGTTCAAGATGAGCTACGGTAGAGTCTCTCATACTCGAATATTCTGTATTACTATTTAAATATTTGTTTATTCGAACAGAATGTTCTGTTGTATTAAATTGTTTCATAATCTACGTAAATTACATAATTTGTATTTCAAATTTATTTCTTTGTGTAAACTACATAATTTGTATTTCAAATTTATTTCCTTGCGCCGGATTAATAACAAAATCATGCAATTTTTTGGACATTTCTGGTCAGCTTTTTAATTTACAATATTCTTTTCGCCTGTTATTCCATCGTTTATCGTTCAGCGTAATTAATTCTTGTAAAATGAGCGAATTCTTATTCGATTTGATTTTTTCGTGACGGCCTTTTTTCACGATCAGCAAAATGGTATAAGTCATCGTGAGAGATTAATTTAATCGAGCGGTTCAGAGGATAAACGCTTACAAGCGAGTAATTCGAGAAAATCGCGGATAAAGAATTGGAAAATCGTAGCGAAATTCGGCGAAGTTGAACGTCGGGGAAACTTTTTTAACTGGAGAGTTTCGTACGAAAGTTTTATTACAGGTAGACCGTGGCAGTTAGTAAGTTTCGAGAATTTCACGAAAGTTTCACGAAAGAATTGAAAAGGCACTCTGTGCTTTGAAATTTGCATAAATATTAGTATACATATAATCTTACAGAAGAAAACATCGGAAACATTGTGAAAATAATGGAACCTTTCTTTTCTTTATCATGTCAATTTTAATTAGAATTTATCCCTGCTAAAATTTTGCTTTTTTTTTTCGATTTTGTTGTATGTTATAACTCGCGAGAAAAATTTATTACAATTAGTCGAAATATAAATTTTATTTTAAGAAAAAAGACACATTGTTTAATGAATCTTCTTTTATTCAAAGTATTCAAGGCCGAAAATCGATCACTAAAACTCAATCTTTGGTTTCCTCTGAAAAATAAAAACGGTGTCTGCTGAAAAATAAAAATCTCACTCACCAATAACTAGGGAATAACCAATTTATAGCACAAACAGCACATCAATCAGAAAACAACGAGAAGAGAGTAGAATACAAAATGAAAAAAGAATCGACTTTCAACGATGCCACGATAACAAAGAATTGATCACAGATCTACCATTAGGTGGAAATATCGTCGCAAGTGGAAGAGGTACGTGATATCGTCACCAGCCAGACACAGGCGCGCAAGCGATGCAATAGACATCCATTCATTGCAACGAAATATTTTAATTTTAATTTATTTACGCGGAACATAAACTGTTTGAAGTAAAAATTTGCAGAATAAAAATTATAGAGACCGCAAGCAAAAGTGAATATTAATCAATGCTCGACTAACTGAGCTTTTGTTATTTAAACTCATTTATCTGGACGCTAGAATAATAAAATTCCGAGTGAAAAATGAAGGCTAATAATGAAAATTGATGAGTTTTTATTTTACGAACTTCAATTACCTAAACTATTTTCACCACGTACGGACAAATGGAACTCTAATGGAGTTCTAGTTACCCAATACTTGAAAAGAGGCTCTCAAGTAGAATAGGTACGTGATACCGTCACTAGTTAGACGATATAAGTATGCAAGCGGTATAATAGAACTCCATTTATTGTAATAAAGTCTTAATACCGAACGTTAGATATATTTACTTAAAGGAATAATAAAATTTTGAATATAATGAAATTTTAAACGAAAAATAACAAGTAGTACGAAAAATTGGTAAGCTTCTATTATCCTCGAATTTCAGTTATATCTATTCTTCATAACAAGTTTGTTATGAAGTTCTATAAACAAAGTTCTACCATATTTCATCTGGATACAAAATTAGCTTCACCTGTGTCATTTTCTCAAAGTGAAATTCGTCATTTAAAATTGATTCAAATAAAATTTCTGCACTCCTCCAATCAAATTCCACTCGTTAAAAAGACATTTTCAAGTTCGCATGAACAAAGTTCTGCTGCGCATACAAACTTACGCCTCTAATATCTTATTTCGGAAAGCACAAGAACCGACGAGTGCTGCTCGTTGGTAAAGTCGTGCAAGCTTTGTGCACCACCGACCAGGTATATGAATAGACCTAGCACCTTACGCGGTTTCGTGGCCGGGGATCTGAAATACCGACATAGTACAAAAAAAAAAATCACTGGTATTTTAGCGCACTCTACATTTAAAGAACGGTGAATTAGGGAATTAAAACGAGGTTGGTCAAGTAGTAAATGCGCCAGGAATATGATTTTTTAAATCCATTACACTGTTGTCAAGTTTTCAATACCGAAATGTGAAACTAGTAACTAACCGAAACTTTCTCATTTTACTACATATATGTGAAAGAACTCCATATTCATGTTTTACGGATTTATCACGACCTTTAAATATGTAATAAAATACCTCCAGACCGCTCGGCTCATTGGGAATTTCTAACAGAACGCACGGCACCCATCCTAGAGGTGTTACCCAAGCTGCACGCTTAACCTACAGATCGCACCTGATCGTAAATTGACAATAGGCGACATCCACTTGCAGCTTGTGGTGTTCGAATCTTGAAAATTTGTATATTAAGTAAGGACCGTAACACCACATGCAAATTTTCGAAAATTTTTGAAAACAAAGAGTGTTGACATCAAAAAAATGTAAATAAACATTGGAAACCAAAATAAACAATCAAAAAAATATAAATAAACACTGGAAACCAAAATAAACAGACCTATGTTTGCAAACAAAGCGAAATTTTAAAGTTTTCGAGATTCCGACTGAAAATTTTCGAAAATTTTTGAAAATAAAGTGTGTTGACATCGAAAAAATGTAAATAAACATTGGAAATCAAAATAAACAATCAAAAAATATAAATAAACATTGGAAACCAAAATAAACAGACCTATGTTTGCAAACAAAGCAAAATTTCAAAGTTTTCGAGATTCCGACTGAAAATTTTCGAAAATTTTTGAAAACAAAGTCTGTTGACATCAAAAAAAAGGAAATAAGCATTGGAGACCAAAATAAGCAATCAAAAAAATATAAATAAACATTGAAAACCAAAATAAACAGACCTATGTCTGCAAACAAAGCGAAATTTCAAAGTTTTCGAGATTCCGACTGAAAATTTTCGGATATTCTTGAAAACAAAGTGTGTTGACATCAAAAAAATGTAAATAAACATTGTAAACCAAAACAAAAAATCAAAAAAATGTAAATAAACTTTGGGAACCGAAATAAACAGACCTATGTTTGCAAACAAAGCGAAACTTCAAAGATTTCGAGATTCCGATTGAAAATTTTCGAAAATTTTCGAAAACAAAGTGTGTTGACATCGAAAAAATGTAAATAAACTTTGGAAACCAAAATAAACAATCAAAAAAATATAAATAAACATTGGGAACCAAAATAAACAGACCTATGTATGCAAACAAAGCGAAATTTCAAAGTTTTCGAAATTCCGATTGAAAATTTTTGAAAACAAAGTGTGTTGACATCGAAAAAATGTAAATAAACATTGGAAACCAAAATAAACAATCAGAAAAATGTAAATAAACATTGGGAACCAAAATAAACAGACCAATGTTTGCAAACAAAGCGAAATTTCAAAGTTTTCGAGATTCCGACTCCAACTTTTCGAAAATTTTTGAAAACAAAGTGTGTTGACATCAAAAAAATGTAAATAAACATTGGAAACCAAACTAAACAATCAAAAAAATGTAAATAAACATTGGGAACTAAAATAAACAGACCTATGTATGCAAACAAAGCGAAATTTCAAAGTTTTCGAAATTCCGATTGAAAATTTTCGAAAATTTTTGAAAACAAAGTGTGTTGACATCAAAAAAATGTAAATAAACATTGGAAATCAACGTAAACAATCAAAAAAATATAAATAAACATTGGAAACCAAAATAAACAGACCTATGTTTGCAAACAAAGCGAAATTTCAAAGTTTTCCAGATTCCGATTGAAAATTTTCGAAAATTTTTGAAAACAAAATGTGTTGACATCAAAAAAATGTAAATAAACATTGGAAACCAAAATAAACAATCAAAAAATGTAAATAAACATTGGAAACCAAAATAAACAATCAAAAAAATGTAAATAAACTTTGGGAACTAAAATAAACAGACCTATGCTTGCAAATAAAGCGAAATTTCAAAGTTTTCCAGATTCCGATTGAAAATTTTCGAAAATTTTTGAAAACAAAGAGTGTTAACATCAAAAAAATGTAAATAAACTTTGGAAACCAAAATAAACAATCAAAAAAATATAAATAAACATTGGGAACCAAAATAAACAGACCTATGTATGCAAACAAAGCGAAATATCAAATTTTTCGAGATTCCGACTGAAAATTTTCGAAAATTTTCGGAAACAAAGTGTGTTGACATCGAAAAAATGTAAATAAACTTTGGAAACCAAAATAAACAATCAAAAAAATATAAATAAACATTGGGAACCAAAATAAACAGACCTATGTATGCAAACAAAGCGAAAT